AAACAATACGTTGTAAAGGATGCTGGTTAATAGAATGAATCTTATCCAACCTTTTCAGTGTTTGTAACAGGAGTATTTTTCACAGTCTAGTGTGCCATGTTGTCAGAAGTGGAACCTTAGGACTCAGCACAGTTGGGTGTTATAAAATCTAGAATCTGAATATTATGGAGCGAGATCTGTGAAACCATCTTCTGTTTTAAATAGAATAAAGCAGTCTCTTTGTACCAGTCGGCAGCACCAGTAGACATCCAGGAATAGGGAAATGTATTAAGCCAAAAAATGAGTATCTGAGTATTTACTGTGTAGTAGACTCTGTACCAGCCCTGGTGTATGCCTATAAAGGTACAGCAACCAAAAACCAAACCCGTTGCCATCGAGTTGATTCTGACTCATAATGACCCCATAGGTCAGAGTAGAACTGCCCCACAGGGTTTCCAAGGAGCAGCTGGTGGATTGGAACTGCTGACTTTTTGGTTAGCAGTTGAGCTCTTAACCACTGTGCCACCAGGGCTCTGTAATTGTACATTAGTCAGTGAATATACACACACTTATTGCATACCTGCCAAATGCAAGCACATAGGCAGATGCAAGGGATATGTAACTAACACAGTACCTGGCACATACTTGGTCTTGCATACATGCTGAATGAATGAATGATAGGATGTCTTCCCCAAGGAACTTACAGTGTAAGTCTAGGATAGTGTTTTTCAACATGTGGCATGGCACTTGTTAACATTGTCCCTTCCAGAAACTCATCTGACCGGCTAAAATCAGTCTTCTGAGATGAATTTCCTACCCTCAAGGGTTCAAACGTTGGAGGAGGATAATATGCAGTTCAAAATGGTACCTGAAGAGCACCCGATGAAGTGTGTAGACAGTAAATCTTCAGTGATGACAAGAGGGAATGGACTGTGCTGAGGGTTTCATGGACAAGAGCACAAAGTGAGCTAGATGGGGGCAGAGAAGGAGAGCATGAGGATTATTTGCTTTATTCTCTAGATGTTGGCTTCTTATGACTTATTCCTCCTCAGAAGAGCATACTATATGTGGTGGTGATGGGGGGTGGGTTATTAGGGATCAGAAAAGAAAGTAGGTAGACTTTACTGTCTCCAGGAATCTCAACCAAATCTTTTTCCCCTTGCTTGTTATCTTTTACTCTGTGTCAGTCCGGGAAAACATCTTCTAACCTTTGCTGTCTTTGTCACTTCGGTTTTTCAAATAATCATTGATTCACAAAGCCTTTTTAAATCTCTAGTCTTGTAAGGAAGCCTTCTGACCACTCCTTTTACCTCTTTGGAAAGGCGGTGTTGGGGTTCTGAGGAGGAGAGCTAGCGGTTCAGGTTGTTGTTGTTGGCTTAATGCCTTTGACAGGTATATGAGTACGAAATGAAGCAAAGAAAACACCAGTGGAGTTCCTTTCCAGCATCCAACCAAAATTCTGGGCCTGGAAGGCTCTTTTATCTTTTCACAGTGATTTCTGTATACCAGTGGTTTAATTGTGAGGGTATGTCCATCCCAGATTTAGGAAAAGTTTACAGTGCTAAATGCAGTTCTGAATGGGTGAAGGAGGAAGGTGGGCCTGCCTTAAGCTCACCCCATTATAGGGACAACAGCCATTTCTCAGCTTTTTCCTTCATGGTTTTGTTGAGTAAAACCATGGTTTTCCTGGGCACACTAAATGGCCCAGGTCACACGTGAAAGATACAGGGCCTGCCCACCTGACCAGGGAGGTTGTTAATGCTTCCCTTATGTTGGTCCTGTGGCCACCTCCTCCTTCTTGACCCTGTACAGCTGCCCCTGGTGCTTAAGATACCAGCTGCCAGGACATGGCTGTAAGATGAGGTGGTGGGTCTCCTTGGAGAGTAAGTCCCATGGATTGAGGAGCAGGACAGCTGGTGGCCATGTACCAGCTGCTGAAGAGGTGGATTGTTTCAGCTTGTAGCAGGCTGAGGCTTCTGAACGTCATCCGCCGTCCCTGTTCATTGCTGTGCTGAGTACACAGAAGGTGATTAATAAATATTTGTCAATTAATAAATATTTGTCGACTGGCTGTTGAATGGATTACAGCATTATTTCTTTTATGTAAAAATTTCAACAACCAAATATCCATCCATATGGAATTCGGTATCCACAGAGAAATTATACACAACCATTAAAAAGAACAAGATCTAAAAAAAAAAAGGAACAAGATCTATCTATAGGTACTGACAAAGGAACAACTCTCAAGACGTGTTTCTCAGTGGAAAAAAACAAGTTTTAGAATATTAATCGCATTCAAGGAACAGAAAAATTTTATACACACAAACATAGACGGTGTATAGAGAAGTTCTAGAAATATACACACTAAACTATTAAAGTGGTTATCTGTGAGAGATGGATATACAGAGGGCTATCATTTTCTTGGCTATACAATTCTATTATGTTGGTAATGTGTTACAAGAATGTATTATGTTTGAAATCAGAAAATTTTTTTTAGAAATTAAAGAGATTTCAGAGAAGTCTGAATAATTACAAAATTGAAAGTTAAAATTCTAAGACTAGGATTTTTGAAAATACTTTTTAAGATCACTAAGGAAAAAAATAGATAAAAAACTTTTTCTGCTGAAGTTCTTTTTAAAGACATTCCTTGCTTCTACATTGTGCCCCCTCTATCTACCTGGAAGCCAGAGAGAAAGGAAAATCACCCAGTGTATTGTGATTCTACATACTGCACTTCCTGTAGTCATCTTTGCAAAATGTGTACCTATCTTAATGTGGTGTAGTTGCTTTAGATAATTCTTAAAGAAACATCTGACTCCTGTAAAATTTGCTCTGTAATCACTGTTTAACCTCCTTTGTAATATACACTTGGTACTTAAAGAAAAAATCCAAACATCTATCGATTTGGCGGTCACATTAGTGCAGAACATTTTCTCCAAGATTTTAGCTATGGGTAGTTTTTTCCTTCTTTACAGCATATCCGTACACCTCTGAGATGAGTCAAGTGGCCGTGGATTGAGACTCACCCAACTAGAGCAATAAAGAGAAAAATTAGTCTAATGCATGGTCTTAACAAGAGGGAGAGTGTGAGCATGAATAATTAATCTCACTAGTCTGTGGCAATCAGATAAAATGAAGTCCCATTTGCTCAACCTTATTAAAAGAGAGAGAGTGCGGGAGGGAGGGAGAGATGGTAAAGGTCGTTAGGGGACTTGTAACATGGAAAGAATCGCCTCTGCGATGGGTAATGTATTTTCTGCTCTCTGTGGTCTTTAACTAAACGTCATGGTAAAGGTACTCTTTGGATAGTTCTGATTCATTGAATTATTAAACATTCTAGAAAATACTTGACTCTTGACTACTAACTCCGATGTCTTTATGATTAATTTGTAGAGAATCTTTTTTCACAAGGGATTGGATCTCACTATATCCCTCAGAAATGAGCCGTCTACTTACCAAAAAGAACTTCTAGAAAATCTGAGTCAGTACCGGATTTCAATTCTTACATTTACCATGGACATTTTATTGATTACATAGGCCACTTTCCTGCTGTAGATGTTGAAGTATTTCATAAACCAGAAAATATGGAGCCCAGGAACCCTATTAAAAGCTCTATGCTGATACTGAAGTACAGAATATTACTTACAATACACTATGAGGTGACTATAGCTTTTTCTCTCTTTAAACCCACTGCTGTGGAGTCGATTCTGACCATAGCAAGTATTAAATATTAATTGAATTGAGTTTCTAAGATTTTTAATAAAAAACTAAAATAATCTCCTTATGGATCAGGCTTTCTTTTCTTTTTTTAAATTTTTGCTGGACAGCTGGTACTACAAAAGTGTTCTAATATAATGAAACACTGTCTAGAGATGGAGGCCTGGTGGCGCAGTGGTTAAGAGCTTGGCTGCTAACCAGAAGGTCGCAGTTGGAATCCACTGGGTGCTCCTTGGAAACCCTATAAGGCAGTTCTGCTCTGTCCTGTAGGCTCACTATGAGTTGGAATCAACTCAGTGGCAGTGGTTTGGTTTTTTGGTTTGTCTAGAGATAAAAGGTCCCTTTCTTATTTGCTTTCATACCTATGGAACAGAACTTTCTGAAATTAGCAAGTGGACAGTAACTGCAGAGGGATGTTTGGAAGTAAGAGTTTGTGTTTTGGTTTGTAGTTTAATCTTAAAAAACCCAAAACCAAACCCATTGCCGTCAGATCAGTTGCGACTCATAGGGACTCTATAGGACAGGGTAGAACTGCCCCATAGGGTTTCCAAGGAGCAGCTGGTATATTCAAACTGTGCTACCAGGGTTCCAGTTTAGTCTAAAGAAATCATCTAATAGTTAACTATGCCAGCTTCTTCTTCCTGGATACTTATGCTGTCTTTTTTTTGTTTTTTACCAACTTCTTTGGTATAAATACGGAGCCCTGGTGGTTAAGGGTGGTTAACAGTGGTTAAGAGCTTGGCTGCTTACCAAAAGATTGGAAGTTCGAATCCACCAGCTGCTCCTTGGAAACCTTATGGGGCAGTTCTACCCTGTCCTATAGGGTCCCTTTGAGTCGGAATCAACTCAGTGGCAATGTGGTTTGGCATAAATACAGAGAGGGAGAAAGAAAGAGAACCGAAGGTAGCTCATCTACAAGTTCCTTGTTAGCTTTCCCATTAATTCCAAATCAGAAGCAATTAATGGCCCTTAGTTTCCAGACCTCTTTTTCTACGTGAACACTCAAAAAAGCAGCCAGGATACCTGATTTCCCCATTTTGCATTTTTCTTTCTTGTCTCCTATGAGTTTGTTTGCACCTTGCCCTGTGGAACTCTTTGGTTGCATTTTCCCTTTGTCATATGGTATAGCCATATCCCTGTACTACCATTAACCTGGAAACGGTTAGGAAATTGAGCAGTAGAACATCTTCTTTAATAAGAGCTCAGTGGTAGCGAGCGTGCCCTGGACTCTGCTGAAATGAAAGCGTTGGATACAGTTCTGATGTATGTAACTGTACACCCCCATATTTTTCTTCCTCCACCAGATCCTGGTGTGCAGCTTGGAAGCAGAACGCTGCATCTCGAAGCTGGGTAATGCGCTTGGTGACTTCACATGTGTCAACCTCCAAGACAGTCCTCCCAACCTCATGATCAGTGGCAACATGGACAGGAGGTAGGTCTGAATAATAAGCAGCATTTTGTAGCATCAAGCAGCTTCTGGGGAGGCCTCGCCACTCAGCCTCACTGTGTGTACTGATTTTCTCTACTGTTCACCCCCTTCCGTGCCCACTCCACAGCTCTGCCCACTTTGAGTTGAGCTCTGATTCCATAAACACTGTCTTTGTGAATCTGGAGAACAAAGTCTTATATTAGGTAATAGTTGGATATAGCTATGTCTCTGCTTCATTTCTGAAGCACCATGGGAAGGTTTTCTTTTAAGCCATTTGGTGGTGCAGTTGGTGGAAGGTCCAGTGAGACCACTTGGAATATTTTTTGCCCCCCTGCTGCAGAATTTGTTTGGCATTTAAAAGCTCACTTTCTAATATTAAGAACAATAACCTAAGGGATGAATCATGTTCAACAAAATAGGGTTGCCTGCCAAATGATGTCAAGAGTGTATTTCAGAGCACTGCGGTGTCCCTCTGGTGATGGGGAAAAAAGAGTCTTCACGTGGACAGATTCCAGTTTCTATTTAGCTGATTAGCAGTCTTCTCTTTAACGCATTGGCTTTGGGAGTCGGATTTTCCCGGTACAGGGTCCAGTGCCAGCCACGAATGCTCCAGGAACCATCAGCACGAAAGGATTAAAGTGTTTGAAAAAGACCCTCTGAGTCCAAATTTTAGTTCTTTTCCCCCTCCCTGCTCCCTCTCCCCCTTGTCTTGTCTTGTCTTTTTTTTTGGCTGGTTATCTGCCGTGTCTGATCCAGTGCCCCGAAGAGAGGTAGCGTGGCTGGAGGCCAGGCTCTGCCGGCACCCCCTCCCCTGTGCCTGGCCCTGGGCTGCAGGTGGTGGTCTGCTTGGTAGTGGGTATCTTACACATTGTGAGGCAGGTATGCCTCTGTGCCAAATCCCAGACCTCTGTCCTGCCAGTGCAGCAACTTGCAAAAATAATTATTTTGTCAAGTAATATTTTCAACTCTCGACTTCCACCTCTCTAGCTGCTCTCCCCACTTAGAGCAAAAAGATAATGTGAGTATACTTTATAGAAAATACGTAACCGTGTTTTTTCTCAAGGCCTCCTAAAATGGCAGATACCCTGATGATTGAGAATTGAACTTCTCGGTGCATGTCCAGGCAGTTTTTCTCTTTGAAAAAAAAATAACAAAACAAACTGGACTTGGTAAGTGGCCTCCACATGTGACACAGCAAACGAAAGAAACCAGTTTACAGCTTGATGCTCATGTTTCAGTTTCCAGACAGAGCTATCTATACAAAGGATCCAAGCTTTTCCGATAGATCTCCCCACAGGGGCCCAGTAGCTACTTGTTTTCCCTGAGAGCAAATGCAGAGGGCTCTTTGGGGCATCCAAATGGAAGGGTTTGCGATCATGGATTCTGTTTCAGAGCTAGTTTGCTGCATGAGCATTTAGGTGTTCAAGCACAGCTAGGCTCCCAGGAAACCAAAGCGATGTTCCAGAGGAGAGGGCTTTGCCTTCTCCATCACTTAGCCCAGTTAGCTCTAGAACACTTTCCAGCCGGATGGTGATGACCATTTTCAGCTATACGGTACATCATCAGTTAGGAGACTGAGGCATACTCAGTAAAGCAGACTTCTTCCTCTGGAGCAGGGCTGCCTAATTATATAGCCACTGCCAGAAAAGGAGCTAAATGCCTGGTAAAAGGGCTCTCTGGTCATTTTGTAAAATATTTTGTTTTTGGTGAACGTTTACACAGTAAATTAGGTTCCAATTTGACAACTTCTGTACAAACTGTTCAGTGACATAAGTTACATTTTTCACAATGTGTCAGCATTCTCTTTAATGGTGTTCTGGTTGTTGTGTTTCCAGTACTCTAGTTTCCCTGCCCCTTTATCTTCTCATTCTTGCTTTAGAGTAACTGTTGACCTTTTGGTCTCATGTAGATGGTTTGTGAGTAGAGCACTGCAATATTCTTTGTGTGCCACTGTTACTTTGCTAAAAGGTGATCTTGGGATAGTTTTGGTTCATGGTTTAAAAAATATCTCAGGGCAGTAGTCTCAAGGAGTCCTCTGGTCTCAACTGGTCCACTAAATCTGGGCTTTCTAAGAATTGAGTTCTGCTCAGCATTTTTCCCCCTTCTATCAGGGTCCATCTATTGTGGCCCTGATTAGAATGGTCGGCAGTGGTAGCTGGCCACCATGTAGTTCTTCTGGTCTCAGGGTAGAGGCGGCTGTGGCTTGTGTAGGCTGTTAGTCCTATAGACTAGTGTCTTCTCTGAGACTTTGATTTCCTTCTCTGGTCATTCTAAAGTCCAAATATGACCATGTTAAGTCCATTTTATTAGTAAACCAGTGTTACAGGTTTTTTAAAAACCCTCTGTCTCTATTAATGAGCAGAACAGACTAGTAATACGGAGTTGGGAGAGGGTTGGGCTGTCCAAAGTGGCATTAATCAGGGCCCATCCTGGGGCTGTGTGCAGCTATTTGACCACTGCTTTATGAATCATAATAGCAGTGTTAGCAATATGCATTGGAAACACAGATGTTGATCTGCTTTTTTTAAAATAAAAATTGTACATCTGGAAAAAGGAATGAGAAATTGAGACATTTAAATGTGGTGGAGGGAAGTCTTATTTTTTCCCCCAAAGGCTTAATAACTATGAGTAAGATTGCTTTAGAGATGCGTGCCCGGGCTTGTACAGCTTATGTTTTATTTCAAAAACGGGAGTAGGGGGTCAAATATTATGAAGAGAACTCTGAAAAGAACTATGTCCTTGGCCTTCCCTTAATGGCTGAGGCAATTTAAAAAAAAAAAAAAGGAACCTCCCTTTTTTATTTAAAAAACTGAATTCCCACTGCATTCCCTTAATAGTGTATAAATAACTTGAGACTGAAATGGACTCTGGAGATACATAAAACTGTCCCAGGTTAAGACACAAATAAAGTAATTTTTCATTAAATTAAGGAAAGCTTGAGTAGTTTGCAAACATAGGTCGAATTTTGCAAGAAGTTTATTTTTTGGGGAAAAAAACTTAGGCTTAAATTAAAAATGAAAAAAAAAAAAATCACCTAATCTCTCATCTTTCCAGGAAAAAATCAGAGGATAATGAGAGTTTCATGAAGAATAAAAGAATGAGCAGAATGGAAACTGGGTTATCGTTAGATTGTGGTTTTTCCTTGCTGGGAGGGAAGGATTGTACAGTAGAGGGGAGAGAGAGAGGTAGAGTTTTTGTACAACAGTTTTATCAATATGGATCAATTTGTTTTTCTAAACACACTTTTTTTTGTCTTTTTTCCTTCTGAGACCAAGAAGAGAAATGAGTAATGTTACAGGAGGAGTGATGTACGTTAGGTATTAGGACTGGTTGCTTGTGTCTGTTCTATTTACCAGTGTCTTAGCACAGTGCCTGGTAGCATGTTCGTAAAGCCAGATGCATTTTATTCTAAGATGCCCTTTTTTTTTACAGTTTCACATCTCTGATATTGGGATCTTTTAATCATTGGCATCTTAAAATTGTATTTTTTAATGTTACATAAAATAATGGTGCTGCTTATAAGAGTGTCTTTAAATGAAGTATATATTTGTTCAGTGAAAGCAAAAATGAATTAATAACTTGGATTAGAAGATTTATGAGAAGCTTGAATGAGTTAAGATAAAATTTGCAGGAAATAGACCACTTTGTTTTGGGGGAGTTCACTGAGTTTCTAGAATCTGTAAATTTATGTCTTCTACCAAATTTGGGATGTTTTCAGCCATTATTTCTTAAAATATTTTCCTGCATGAATCCCTTTCTCCTCCTCTTCTGGGACTCCAGTGACAGCAGTGTTTGACCTTTTGATATTGTCCCACAGGTCATTTCGATTCTGTTCATTTTCTTCCTCAAACTTAATTTTCTTTCTGTTCTTCAGATTGGATAAATTTCTGTTGATCTAATTTTAGGTTCATTGACACTTTTCCTCTGTCATCTCCATTGTGCTGTTGAGCCCATCCAATGAATTTTTTTTAATTTTGTATTTTTTGGTTCCAAAATGTACCATTCGTTCTTTATTACAGTTTCTATTTCTCTGCTGAAAACATCAGTTTTTCCACTCCATTTTACCTTTATGTCGTATAATACAGTTAAAAATAACTGCTTTAAAGTAGCTGATAAGTCCCAAAATGTGAGTTATCCCACAGTTGACATCTGTTAATTGTCTTTTCCCTTGAGAATAAGTCACATTTTTCTGGGCTTTTTTTTGGTTCTTGTATGTCAGGTAATTTTTGGTTCTATCTTGGACATCATGAATGTATGTTATGTACGCTTTGAATCCTGTTATATAATCCTCTGGAGAATTTTGTTTTAAATAAGCAGTCACTCTAGTTAGGTTCAGACTGCAAGTTCTTTCTTGCCTCATGTGGCCAGTAATTCTGAGGTCAGTTCAAGTTTCCAGAGCCTTTGCTATGCTGCTCTATGTCTGTCCCATGCATATGCCCAGGGGTTAGTCTGAGACTTAGCAATGGTTTAAAATTAGTTCAGTTCTCATGGCCTTTGCTATACTGCTTTGGACTGTCCTGCACAGCTCAGAAATGAGTCTGGGATTTGTATGGATTCATACACATTATTATAGGATCTCCTTCTCTGGTTTCCTCCTCTCTGGAAATTCCTATACTTCCCAGCCTGGAGGGGCCCTTTTTCCTGGTCCTCTGGCCAGAAAGAAGGGACTTCTCTCCAAGTTTTACCTGCCTACATTGCTACCACCGTGCAGCTCTGTGACTGGGGCCTGTCCTTTGGGCAAATACAAGACTGGAGGGGAAAAAACAAAGATATCCCTACACTCTTCGGACTGTGGGGCCCCTTTTCTTGGTTCCTTTGGTCAGAAAGGTGGAGTTTCTTTTGGAGTTTTAACCTTCAGCACCACTACTCAGCTGTGCTACTGGAGCCCATACAAAGCTGGGGGGAGGGTGCGGGGGAGGAATGAGAAACTCTTCCCCCATATGTGTCACTCTCCTCCACAATCCACCTACTTTACTGTACTTTCACATTCTTCAGGTGTTTGC